TAAACGCAGCCAAGCCACAGAAAATCAAACAATACAAAGTCAGAGAACTAAGGGGGGTGGAAATGGGAGGGAGGTGGGGAGCAAGGGGCGGGGGATGCTGGGATGGGAAAAATAGACAAAAAACTGTACTTGAAAAATAACTAAATAAAATTAATTATTTAAAAAAAGGAAAAAAAAAACAAAGTCCGAAAATAATGAACCGTTCAGCTAAATCGGTGAGAGGGGCGGAGCCAGCAACGGTGCAGGTTGAGCAAAAAAGATCTCCTGACCTGGGTGGCACGAAGGGAGTGGAGGGGGCAAATCCCAGGTGTGGGGCAGACCCAGGGAAGGCGTGGGGCGGCTGGCTGACTGCAGTCTGTGCATTTGCGTGCAGATAAACCAGCGAAGAGAGGAGCATTGAGACAGATTGAGCAGGCCCTGGCGCAATGCAGCGGGCTGACCACAGTCCCACATTTGCACACAGATAAACAGGCAGGGGGTGGGGGAGGAGCGGAGAGGACTGCTATTGCTCCCTCTCTGACCCCACCCCCACATACAGTGTCACAACCCAGTGACCTGGGTGGCCCCACCCTGGTGAACACTTAAGGTGCCTCTCCTCAAACATAACAGGAGAGAACAGTTCAAAACATGGCTCAAGAAGAACTCAGAGCCCCAGAGCTGATAAATCTAAGTGATCAAGAAATTGCCAACCTATCAGAGGCACAATTCAAAACACTGGTAATCAGGATGCTCACAGAACTGGCTGATTTTAGTCACAAATTAGAGGAAAATGTGAAGGTTAAACTAATTGAAATGAAGGGAAATGCACAGGAAACCAATAGTGATGGAAAGGAAACTGGGACTCAAATCAAAGGAGTGGACCAGAAAGATGAAAAAGATGAACAAACAGAAAAGAATAAAGAAACAAGAATTTTAAAAAATGAGGAGAAGCTTAGGAACCTCCAGGACATTTTTAAATGCTCCAACATCTGAATTATAGGGGAACCAGAAGGGGAAGAGGAACAGCCACAAGTGGAAAACTTCTTTGAACAAATAATAAAGGAGAACTTCCCCATTCTGGCAGAGGAAATAGACTTCAAGGAAATCCAGGAAGCTCAGAGAGTCCCAAAGAAGTTGGACCCAAGAAGGAACACACCAAGGCACATCATAATTATATTAGCCAAAATTAAAATGAAGGAGAGAATCCTAGAAGCAGCAAGAGATAAGAGGACAGTCACCTACAAAGGAGTTCCCATCAGACTTTCAGCTGATTTCTCAAAAGAGACCTTCCAGGCAAGAAGGGGCTGGAAAGAAGTATTCCAAGTCATGAAATCCAAAGACCTACAACCAAGATTGCTCTATCCAGCAAAACTTTCATTTAGAATGGAAGGGCAGATAAAGTGCTTCTCAGATAAGATCAAATTCAAGGAGTTCATCATCACCAAGCCCTTATTATATGAAATGTTAAAGGGACTTACTTAAGAAAAAGAAGATAAAAAAGATGAACAGTGAAAGGACAGCAAACTCACAGTTATTAAGAACCACACCTGAGGACTTCCGCCAAGATGGAAGTGTAGGTGGACCCACCTTGCTTCCGTGCACAACCAAATCTAAGAACAACTATTTTTAACAATGATTAACACAACAAGACCACACAGAAAATTGACAATATGGAGTCCAAAAAAAGGACGAAATGCTCAGCTAAATGGGTAAGCCAGCAGCGAAGCCAGTTGACCAAAAAGATCCCTGACCTGGTGGCACGCAAGTAGCCAAAGGTGCGGATCACGGGCTAGCTATGGGCACACACAGGGAAGAGGCGCGGCTGGCTGTCTGTGGTAGGTCGCGCATTTGCGTGCAGATAAACCAGTGAAGAGGCAAGCATTGAGACTGTACAGCGCAGGGCAGCAGGCTCCCACAGTTCTGCTTGGATAAACAGGCTGGGTCGAGTGGTGGGACACGACAGACTGGGGTAGCGGAGAGGACCGCCATTGCTCCCTCTCTGACCCCGCCCCCACATGCAGCGTCACAAACCAGTGACCTGGGTGGCCCCGCCCTGGTAAACAACTAAGGCTTTGCCCCTCTTACTTACTTACCAGCGCAAACAGTCCAAAAATGGCTCAAGAACAACTCAGAGCCCCAGAGCCGATAATTCTAAGCGATGAGGAAATAGCCAAACTTTCAGATGCACAGTTCAAAACACTGGTTATCAGGATCCTCACAAAACTGGTTGATTTTAGTCACAAATTAGAGAAACATATGAAAGCTAAACTAATTGAAATGAATGGTAATGCAAAGGATACCAATAGTAATGGAAAGGAGTCTGGGACTCAAATCAATGGAGTGGACCAGAAGAAAGCAAATATTGGCCAAACAGAAGAGAATGAAGAAACAAGAATTCAAAAAAATGAGGAGAGGCTTAGGAACCTCCAGGACATCTTTAAACGTTCCAACATTCGAATTGTATATATATAGGGGAACCAGAAGGGGAAGAGTCACGAGTGGAAACCTTATTTGAACAAATAATAAAGGAGAATTTCCCCAATCTGGCAGAGGAAATAGACGTCCAGGAAATCCAGGAAGCTCAGAGATTCCCAAAGAAGTTGGATCCAAGAAGAAACACACCAAGGCACATCATCATTATATTAGCCAAGATTAAAATGAAGGAGAGAATTCTAGAAGCAGCAAGAGATAAGGGCACAGTCACATACAAAGGAGTTCCCATCAGACTGTCAGCTGATTTCTCAAAAGAGACCTTACAGGCAAGAAGGGGCTGGAAAGAAGTATTCCAAGTCATGAAAACCAAAGACCTACAACCAAGATTGCCGTATCCAGCAAAGTTTTCATTTAGAATGGAAGGGCAGATAAAGTGCTTCTCAGATAAGATCAAATTCAAGGAGTTCATCATCACCAAGCCCTCATTATATGAAATATTAAAGAAACTTATCTAAGAAAAAGAAGATAAAAAAGATGAACAGTGAAAGGACAGCAAACTCACAGTTATCAACAACCACACCTAAAACAAAAGCAAATTAAGAGGACAGCTGGGTCAGGAGTGAATCATAGAAATGAAGATCAAGTTGAGGATTAGCAACAGGGGAGTGGGAGAAGGAGAAGGGGGGAGAAGGTACAGAAAATAAGTAGCATAGACAATAGATAGAAAATAGATGGGGGGAGGGTAAGAATAGTAGGGGAAATACAGAATCTAAAAAGCTTGAGACACGTGGTCATAAACTAAAGGTGGGGGGAATGGTGTGCAGGGTGGAGGGGAATGAAGGGGGGAAATAGAACAACTGTAATGGCATAATCAATAAAATAAAAAGATATTTTAAAAAAGAACCCCTAATTTTAATATGTCCTCAACTGATCAACCTGTTTATTGGAAGTATTATCAAAAGGGACTCTATTTTTTTAAATTTTATTTAATTATTTTTCAAGTACAGTTTTCTATTTCTCCCAGCCCAGCCCACCCCGCCCCGTGCTCCTCATCTCCCTCCCATTTCCACCCCCCTTAGTTATTGTCCCTTTGCAACAACATGGATGGAACTGGAAAGCATTATGCTGAGTGAAATAAGCCAGGTGTTGAAAGACAAATACCATATGATCTCACCTTTAACAGGAAGCTAAACAACAAAACAAACAAGCAAGCAGAAAAAAAAAAAAACAAAGACACTGAAATAGAGAACAAGGGGACAGCAACCGGAGGGGAAAGGGGAGGGAATTTAAGGGGGAAAAAAAGGGGAGGGATTTGGAGGAACAAGTATAAAGGAAACAGGGAAAAGGGACTCTGTTGTTAGGAATGACTTGATTCTGGTACTTGCTTTGCTTTCAAGAGAGTAATTTTTTAAAAGAGACATAATATTTAGCTTTTTATATTTACAATACCAGAAACAGCAATCTATTTCCCCCTACTTTAATTTAACATGGATTTCAGGTCATACTTATTTGTGCTGTACACACGCAAAGTGGGTGTGGGGTAACAACATCCCATGTAGTTCTCTTTAGAATTTTGAGAGCAGTTTAAAAAATATCACTCATATATGGCTTTGTTTTCAAGAAATACTTTCAGTTGCTATTCTCAAGGTAAAATTAAGTGAAATTCACCATGGCTGGTGTGCCTCAGTGGACTGAGCACCAGCTTGTGAACCAAAAGGTCGCTGGTTCAATTCCCAGTTAGGGCACATGCCTGGGTTGCGGGCCAGGTCCCCAGTAGGGGGTGTGTCAGGGGCAACCACGCACTGATGTTTCTCTCCTTCTCTCTCCCTCCCTTCCCCTCTCTAAAAATAAATAAAATCTTAAAAAATAAAATTAAGTAAAATTTAACTGCATTGATTTTGAAATTTGTTAGCCACAATGTTAAAAAAAAAACCTCATTGGGAAAGAAAGCCATTAAAGATACTACATTTTAAAATTTTGTGTTTATCTTCATTTAGCATAATTGAATAGGACTTTATGGTAAAATATTTTGCATCTTTCTTTAAGTGTTCATATTTATAATAGTATTTTTCTGTTTTCAACCTTAAAATGTTTGAAATATTCTTTAAGCATTGTTTTTTCATAGGAGAGACAGACTTCTTTGAGAATCCTGTGTTAACACACAGAAGTCAAGATAGGTGTCCACCTTATTATCCAGAGTGTTAATGGATTTTCACTGTAGTCTTTGAAATTAAAACAGCTTATAGTATCTAGGTGTGATTTCTCAGGCAGCAGAGTTGATAGCAAAGTCTGTTTATATTGTGAATTCACAAATTTTCATTCTTTATTAACTGACTGGAGTGCAGCCCAGTACATGTGACATTTGCATATATACTGTGACATCATAAACCCCACAGCAAGGAACCTGGCTTCCGACTAAGGCTATTCTGCTAGGTGTTAATCAAATGCTGTGTTACACATTATGATGTTTTCCTAGTTATAAATGTCATTATTAGGATTTATTTTCAAATTGCAAAGACAAGTAAGGCTGTCAGTTGCAACATCTTAACTTACGGATCAGCTACCGTCGATATTGGGGTTTTTGGTGGATGTGGTGGCATCAGCACAATCTATGTTTCAGGCATCCCATAGAAGAGGATTATTCAGGGGAGCTGGACAAAAAGGTAAATTATGTGTACTATGAGTTCATTCTACATACTTTTAGAACTTCCTAAAAAGAGGTATAAATTATGAAATACAAAATACATCCATTTGATGATATTTGTTTTTGAGCAGGTATCTCCCTGATTGTTGGAATGTGGTGAATATACTCATAGATCTTCCTATGGCTTTTTCCCTGTCTCCATTTAGGCTTTTTGTGCACATGTTCCCTCTGATAAGAAGCTTTCACATCGGGTGTATCCTAAAGAACCTTCTTCCACATTTCTTTGTCATTCTCTGATTATTTACCTTGCTTTATTTTTCTTTTGAGAATTTAGCACCACCCCCAATTATGTATTTGTTTCTTCATCTGTTTTCTGTTCCCTCCTGGTGTAGGAGAGCAGAGACTTCTCCTTACTCACTGCTGTATTCTCACTGTCTAGGCCAGTCCACATGGCGTCTCCTTGGTCTTTCTGAGACTTTTGCTTATTAGAAAGTACTTTAATATTCAAATATTCACTCTTGGAGTGAATATTTGATGTTTATAAGACATTTTCTATTTCTACCTTCAGTATGCACATTTTAGTTCAAGTGCACTGAATTTTGTCTCTGTAACAGTGGTGTCTTTTAGGAAAGAATTAGTTCTCATCTCTTTCCAAAGCTATTTTAGAATTCTGTTTGTACATTGTGAGTAAAATAACTAAAATACTCTATAGATTATGCTTTGTCAATATTTTCTCAGATATTTATTTCCCATCTGAGCTTTAACCCACGCATGAGTCCCATAATTTTCCTTGCCTGTTAAACATTTCACCTTGCTGCCCTACCATTGCTTTCAGCCTAGCCCTACCTAAAACTGAGTCTACTGCCTTACTCCAAACATAAAGACGCTTCTTTAAAATTTGCCCGTTTTGCCATTGTAGCCATCGTGCATCTTCAGTCATTGCCTGTGTTTCTTCCATGCCTTCAATGTAGCGTGCTTCAAGGGTGCATAGATTCAGTTGTGGCCCGTGTGATTAGTATAATAATAAAATAATGCTAAGATGTTAAAGGTAGGGAGTCAAGTGAATTTTTTTTTCTTATGAGTAATGGTGGATTTAGCCTGTTAACTCTACTGACATAATTATTAACAGCTTAATGCTAGCCACTTAATGGCAGTCACTTTGGCAGTAAGAATATAGAAGGTCTGTCAGGCTCTGTAGATCTAAGGGTTTTTGTCTTTTATTTTGTTTTTGTTTTTTAAGGATACATCTGAATTCTGACTCTAGGGTATGTCACATGTGCTAGTACTTAGCCTTTATTTTAGTAGTTTAGTGTCCGTGTTGTTTCATGAGCTTTTGCATGCCCAGAGTTTGGACACAGGGAACTTTCATCATGTAGCTCATCCCCAGAATTCTAGGAATATAGTTCTATATTAGTGGGTACAGCTCCTTTTCTACAGCAGATATCTCGATGCTAAGCCATTTGGATAGAGCAATTGTTTAATAAATTAAAATCCTGAAAGTTATGCTTGAAAGAGCATTTAAAACAACTTAAAGCATGACTTATACTTATCAAAACCCATGACTGTTTGTTGAGTTGTTCTTCAGTCCTTCAAAATATGTAATGTCTTTGAAGCTGGGCCACTTGCCCACAGAAAGTGAATGTGGGCAGTATCTGCTGTCTCAATCCACTGGCCTAGTCTGTAAGAATGCTTGGTACTCTTGGGTATAATTTATATAATATTTTGCCCAGTCTCTGACATATGAGCCCTCCAGGGTTATTGGAGGTGGTGGTTTGTCTGTGGAGCCGAAATCACATTCTGCTCTTGAAGCCAAGGCCTGGAGCCCCCATGAGGAGAGAGCAGCAGTTTTTAAAGTGTGTGCACAAAAACCCTGGGGAGTCTGAGGCTTCTTTGTGGAGGTTTAGGAGGATAAAACTACTTTCATAATATGCTAAGATCTATTTTCCTTTTTCTCTGTATTGTCATTTGCATTAACAGTTCAAAAACAATGGGGGGTAAGCTGTTGGTACCTTAGGAGGAATCAAATCAGTGGCACCAAACTGGATAGTCATCATTGTTTTCTTCAGTGCCATTCACTTACAATGAAAAAAAGACAATTTCATTCAGGAATATTCTTGATGAAGCAGTACATATTATCAATTGTGTTAAATCTTAATCCTTAAGTACATGTTGTTTTAATATTTTCTGAGTTATGAAATTAGGACATTCACTGTAAGGGTAAATGAATACTGATGGCATTCTTGGGGGGAAAAACCTAATAGTTGAGTTATTGTTTGAGTGGCAAGAGGACCTAGTGAGGTTTTTCCACAGGACATCATTTCTCTCAAAGAATGACTAATAACCAAACTGTGGCTATTCAAACTTATTTGATAAAACATTTCATCAAATGAATGTCACTTCAAAGAAAACAACTGACAGTTTTTATTGACAAAGATGAAATTCCAGATTTTAAGCAGAAGTTTTGAATTTTGGAAAACCTACATCTGCCATTTTGAGCGTGGCAGCTTCCCCATATCTGCTTCTGAAGCAGAAAACTGATATCAGGCTCAGTTTTCTGATGAAACTGGTGTTGGTTTTAGTGAATACGCTTTTCTGATGGTGTATAATGAAGTGTCAGCCCTTTTTGTGATTATGGAGACATAAGAATAACTGCAATTTTCATCAGTATAGAGACAAGGCATTAGTTTGTGTCTGGAGTAATTCTATAATATCATGTTGAATGTTTCATTTATTAAAAAATAATTCCTCTTATTGAAAGTTCTGCCTCGAGTTTCTTTTAAGAAGTGAGAGAGGGTAGCTTATACTCTGGCCTAAGGCTTCACTGTTAGTAGTGAGGTAGTTTAACTGCTTTAGAACTTTGTGCTTGGAACATTCTTAGCCACCGAAGCATGGGAACCAAAAGCGAGCAGCGTGGGTTCTTTACTATGTATCACATCAGAGAATGACTGTTCCAGGACAGTGACCACATCCTAATGGTAAGGTCCCTGGCTTGCTTGTAATTTCTTGGAAGCAGGAAAAATAGCCCAATCATCATAGCAATGGTATTTCTTTTCTTAAAAAAGCAAAAAGAACAATAGAAAGGTCTAGCCTTAATCCTCGGTGATGCTTATTTTTGCAGGTCTCTGTAGTTGGAACAGGCACCGGAAGGGGCTCCCCAGCTGTGACTCTAGTACAGTTACCTTCAGGCCAGACTGTCCATGTCCAGAGAGTAATTCAGTCACCACTCACAAACTGTTCGGGTTAGCTTCCTTCCAGCATGATTTGTCTTTGACTTTCTTGAGCTTGAGCCTAATCTTCTTCTTTTCTAAACTAATTATCATCTTTTCCTTGTGTAGCTTTTATGCTCCAGTTGTTTTATTAGAGATTTGGAGGAATTTCCTTTTACGTGGGAAGCACATTGTGCTCTGCTAGATACAAAGATTTGACTAAGGGTTGCTATTTTGTTGTCAGCTTTTAATTTGCAGGATGAGTAATTGCCAGATGAATAATTCTTCAGGTTGTTCTCTGCTCAAACTTGGATTTATTTAGCAGAGCTCTCCAATGGTGCTTAAAAAATATTTGAGGATTCTTTGGAGAAGATGTCTGTTAAACACAATAATATAAAGCTTATAGTATTGACGCGATTTTCATGAATACTCACATTAATAGGTAGAAATTTAAGTTTATTTTTAATTCAATACGTGTAATCCATAGAAAATAATAATATAATTGTCTCTTGGTCCTATGTTTATACATCATGTACCCCTCTCAGATTTAACCTTTGTTTTGCAGATGTGGTTAGTATTATGGTTGTAATCCAGAGATGCATTTTATTATTATCAAAGAAACACATCTCTGGATGAGTTTATACCTTCACCATCTCTGGGTTTATATCCTTAGCATTTCTTGAAGCATACTTTTCTTGTTTACTGAATTTACTTCTCTTTTTTTTATGTCAGTTTGTTATTGTCTTTTAGATTTTAGATTTATCTGAACTTAATTGATGACAAAAAGACCTTTGAGGAAAAAGTAGACGTACTAATTTAGTTTTGTTCTTTTCTGCATATTTGGTATAATTTATTGCAAAATCAGAATGGGGTTTGCAACATGATATTTGAAGTAATAAACCCACATGCAGTGAAAGCTTGGTTATCTTTGAGGCAACACGTCTTAATAATTTTCAGTGTTATCTCCCTCCCCCCACTTGATGACCCTTGGTTCCAAGAGTTTCTGACTCTAATTATAAAACAAGAAAGTCTTTCCAGTCTCCTTTTTATATTTTGACTTTGTATTGGGGTGCAGGTGCTTCTTATATTTAACCTAGCTGGGACCAGAAGAAAGTTTTGTCTTACATTCAGCAGGGTTTTTTAAAATTTTGTGAAATTATTATTTAATTATTGGTATCTTTGTACAAATAGATGGTGGTGAGTCTTGTCTTAAAATTCCTACCTGTTTAACCATGGACAAGTCCTTTAATCTCTCTGTGTGAACTTCAGTTTTTGCCTTTCTGAAAATTAACAGCCTACCTCACACAAGGAGGTTGTTGGAATTATGTGAGATATGTGTGAAAACTCGGTGTAAAGTGATAAATGCTTGGGGGTGATATTGCAACATTTTTTCTAATGAATTCTATTTGTTGGCTAGTATGCTTCTTTGTTGGGTGTCTGTGAACAGAGATGTGTGGTCATGTGTGCAGGTGAACGTGTATGCTCATCCATGTGCTTGGGAAGCATATATTTTTTCTTACATTGTTGACATATTTTTTCCTTACCTGAGGACTTTTTCCTTTTCATTGCTTTTAAAGGGAGAGGAAGGGAGAGAGAGACACATTCATGTGAAATAGAAGCATTGATTGGTTGCCTCCTTGACTGGGGATCGTGTGCGCCCGGACTGGGGATAGAATCTGCAACCTTTTGGTTATGGGATGATGCTCCAACCAACTAAGCCACACTGGCCAGGGTACACTGTTCATAGTTTAGTAAGCTCTTTTGATTTTGCACAAATCAAATTCCCACATAATTGTAATATTAAGTAAAGTGAGTTTTGTAAACACCTAACTGTCCTGGGCCTTGAATGATAATGGTTGTATATAATGAGAGCAGTCATGTTGAAGAAAGATTTTTTATTTTAGTTCTATGAATTTGTTTTATAATCATGTTATCATTTTATTACTTGACTTAAAAAAAGAAATCATGCTTAAAACTCTGATCTGAGGAGAAATACTTTATTTAGACCTCAAGACCTATCATTATCAAACCTTAACAGCTCGTTGTAACATAAATCCTAACTTGAACCAGGCTTGTTCAAGTTCTTTCATCCTGGGACACATCTAATGTCTAACCTGAAGACCCAGCTCACGTCAGCTGTGGTGTTGCAAAAAGGGCGATGAAATTGAGGCTTTTTTTCTGCCTCTGTCACTCATTCACTCCCTGCTGGATTTGTTAGAGTACTTTCAGGGTTGGGACCTTAGGTTTTATGTATCATATATTTAGGCCTTTTCTGTGAAGCCTCACTTGACATTCCAGCCAGTATTTACTTGCATTTCTGTAGTATTTATTCTCTGTACTATTCCTTTCCATACACACTTGTCCTACAGCTGAAATGCTTGTCTCTGTGCTTCCTTTCCTAAGCTAGGTGTGAGCTCCATGAGTTCAGCATGTTCTTCTGCTGGGTGCTTCCCAGCACCTGGCTTAGTGCTGCTGCACACACAGACTCTTGGTTGCGCTGTTTTGAAACAAGAAAATCATATTGTTTATGATGCATTTCAGAAACTCTTGTATTATAGGTAGCAACAATTGCAGAGACAGATGAGTCTGCAGAATCAGAAGGTGTAATTGATTCTCATAAACGTAGAGAAATCTTCTCACGGAGACCCTCCTATGGGTAAGTTAAGTTTCCACCATAATGATGCTTTTTTTGTTGTTGTTCAAAAAGGGAGAGTCATACATCAAACCATGTCTTCCACTATAGCTTTTCTGTTTTAAAACTGATTTGTATATTTTAATTATTTGTATTGTTAAATTCTCTTTTAGAAAAATACTGAATGAACTTTCCTCTGATGTGCCTGGTGTTCCCAAGATTGAAGAAAAATCAGAGGAAGAAGGAACGCCACCTCATATCACTACCATGGCAGTACCGGCTAGCATATACCAGACTAGCACGGGACAATACAGTATGTATGCTGCATTTCGATACCATAGAGTGCCAGCTTAAACCTTCTCTAGTTACATGGAAGCAACTCGGTTTTTCCATTAAACTGTTTCATTTTAAATCATAATACCTAATCTGTATATCAGAGTGAAAAGTACGTGTTAAAGAAGTAAGAGATTTTAATGGACAGCTCTCATATACTTTTCAAAGGTGAAAATTTTTTACTGAATATAGAAGAAAATTTTGAGTTTAAAAATAGAGTGTTTTTTTAAAAAATAGAGTGTTTTTTCTTATTTATATGTTTATATTCCTGTTTAGTAAAAGTTTAAAACTTACTATTTTGTTGCCTTTATGATGCATGCAAATATAAGATATAAATATCTGTATTTCATTCTTACTGGCTTTTACTACTAACAATTACATTTTCTATTTACTAAATTAAAAGAGGCATATATGTTCTCTAAATTATGTTTTAAATGTAATCCTGTTGTCACTATTCTCTACTGCGATGATTTGTACTTCAGTTTTTCCTAGGTTAGAAGGTAAAAATGATTGTTTTAAAACTATAATAATTAGATTATTGTATTTAAAATTTTATTTTTCTGTATATTTTAAGTATATTTTATTGCTTATGCTATTACAGTTATCCAATTTTTCTCCTCTTTATTTCCTTCTGCCCTGCACCCCCCTCCCTCCACCATTCCCTCCACTCCTTAGTTCATGTGTCCTACATGTAAGTTCTTTGGCTTCTCCATTTCTTATGCTTTTCTTTTTTGTCCATTTTTAAAATTTAATAATTGTACAAGTAAAGTTTTCTGTCTTTTACTCCCATCCCAGCCCACCCCCTCCAGTGCTCCCCACCTCCCTCCCATTTCCCCCCACCCTGCCTTAGTTTTTGTCCATGTGTCCTTTATACTTGTTCCTGTGAATCCTTCCCCTTTTCCCCTGAAAATTCTCTCCCCTCTGGTCCCTGTCCTTACCCTATTTTGTGCCTACCAATTATGCTTCCTACTCCCTGTACCTATCCCATTCTCCCCCTCCCACCTCCTGCTGATAACCCTCCATGTGATCTCCATTTCTGTGATTCTGTTCCTGTTCTAGTTGTTTCCTTCATTTGTTTTTATTTTAGGTGTGGTTGTTAGTAATTGTGAGTTTGCTGTCATTTTAGTATACATGTTTTTTATCTTCTTTTTCTTAGATAAGTCCCTTTAACATTTCATAAAATATATGCTTAGTGATGATGAACTCCTTCAACTTTACCTCATCTGAGAAGCACTTTATCTGTCCTTCCATTCTAAATGAAAGCTTTGCTGGATAGAGCAATCTTGGATGTAGGTCCTTGCATTTCATGACTTAGAATACTTCTTTCCAGCCCCTTCTTGCCTATAAGATCTCTTTTGAGAAATCAGCTGTCAGTCTTATGGGAACTCCTTTGTAGGTGACTGTCCCCTTATCTCTTGCTGCTTCTAGGATTCTCTCCTTCATTTTAATCTTTTTTTTAATGAAATTCTTTTTTTTAAATTTTTTTATTGATTATGCTGTTACAGTTGTTCTATTCCCCCTTTATTCCCCTTCACCCTACCCCCCATCCCCACCATCACCCCCCCTTTAGTTTATGACCATGTGTCTCAAGTCCTTTAGATTCTATATTTCCCATGCTATTCTTGCCCCCCCCATCTATTTTCTATTTACTGTCTATGCTACTTATTTTCTGTACCTTCTCCCCCCTTCTTCTCCTCCCACTCCCCTGTTGCTAACCCTCCTTGAGATCTTCATTTCTATGTTTCCACTCCTGATCTAGCTGTCCTTTTAGTTTGCTTTCGTTTTAGGTGTGGTTGTTAATAACTGTGAGTTTGTTGTCCTTTCACTGTTCATGTTTCTTTAACTTCTTTTTCTTAGATAAGTCCCTTTAACATTTCATATAATAAGGGCTTGGTGATGATGAACTCCTTGAATTTGATCTTACCTGAGAAGCACCTTATCTGTCCTTCCATTTTAAATGAAAGCTTTGCTGGATAGAGCAGTCTTGTTTGTAGGTCTTTAGATTTCATGACTTGGAATACCTCTTTCCAGCCCCTTCTTGCCTGTAAGGTCTCTTTTGAGAAATCCGCTGACAGTCTGATGGGGACTCCTTTGTAGGTGATTGTCCCCTTAGCTCTCGCTGCTTCTAGGATTCTCTCCTTCATTTTAATCTTGGCTAATGTAATTACGATGTGCCTTGGTGTGTTCCTTCTTGGGTCCAACTTCTTTGGGACTCTCTGAGCTTCCTGGATTTCCTGGAAGTCTATTTCCCTTTGCCAGATTGGGGAAATTCTCCTTTATTATTTGTTCAAATGCGTTTTCCACTGGTGGCTGTGCCTTTCCCCCCTTCTGGTACCCCTATAATTCGGATGTTGGAGCGTTTAAAGATGTCCTGGAGGTTCCTAAGACTCTCCTCATTTCTTTGAATTCTTGCTTCTTGACTCTTTTCTGTTTGGCCATTATTTGCTTTCTTCTGGTCCACTCCATTGATTTGAGTCCCAGTTTCCTTTTCATTGCTATTGGTGTCCTGTGCAATTCCATTCATTTCAATTAGTTTCGCCTTCATATATTTGTCTAATTTGTCCGTATAATCAACCAGTTCTGTGAGGATCCTGATCACCAATGTTTTAAACTGTGCGTCTGTGAGTTTTGCTCACAGCAAATCACTTAGATTTATTGGCTCTGGGGCTCTGAGATCCTCCTGCGCCATTCTTGGTCTGTTCGGGCCCTTTAAGTGTGAGAAGCGGCGCCTTGGATTCCCAGGTCGCTTGGTTGTGACGCTGTATGTGGGGGCGTGGCCAGAGCGGGGAAATGGCGACCCCCTCTGCCGCTTCTCACAGCTGGGTGCGGAGGAGCAGTGCCTTAGGTGGTTCACCTGGGCCGGGCCACTCAGAGTCGCTGGGTTATGACGCTGTATGTGGAGGTGGGGTCAGAGCAGGGAAATGGCGGCGCCCTCCACTGCCGCTTGCCATGGGGACCTGCCGGCCCGGTCCAACCGCCCACTCCCTCGCCTGTCCACCCTCGCACAAATGCGCGACCTCAGTCAACACGCAGCCCCGGGCCCGGCTGTCTCCCCCGCGGTCGCTCGCCTGGTTGCTCGCTGGGTCGCTCACTAGGTCTGACCCTGCACCTGGATTCCGCCGGCCTGAGTGTGTCTGGCCGAGTCCTCCTGTGCAACCCTGCTCCGCCAGCCGCTGGTTTCGCCCCTTACCGGTCAGGCTGAAGAATTTGTTGTTAACGGACTTCCGAAAAGTTCAGTTTTCCGTGTTCTGGCTGTGTTTTCTGTTGCTAATATTTAGTTGTCTCTAATCTTGGTTGTGTGAGAAGGCACGGCACATCCACCTATGCCTCCATCTTGGTGGAAGTCTCATTTTAATCTTGGCTAATGTAATTATAATGTGCCTTGGTGTGTTCCTCCTTGGGTCTAACTTCTTTGGGACTCTTTGAACTTCCTGAATTTCCTGGAAGTCTATTTCCTTTGCCAGATTGGGGAAGTTTTCCTTTATTATTTGTTCAAATAAGTTTTCCACTCATGGCTGTTCCTCTTCCCCTTCTGGTACCCCTATAATTTGGATGTTGGAATGTTTAAAGATGTCCTGGAGGTTCCTAAGCCACTCCTCATTTTTTTTTTGAATTCTTGTTTTTTCATTCTTTTTTGTTTGGTCATTTTTTTCTTCCTTCTTGCCCACTCCATTAATTTGAGTCCCAGTTTCCTTCCCATCACTATTGGTTTCATGTGCATTTCCCTTTATTTCACTTAGTTTAGCCTTCATTTGTTCCTCTGATTTTTGACTAAAATCAACCAATTCTGTGAGTATCCTAATCACCAGTGTTTTGAACTGTGCATCTAATAGGTTGGCTATCTCTTGGTCACTTAGAAGTATTGGCTCTGGGGCTTTGAGCTGTTTTTCTGCTTGAGCCATAATGTTTTGATCTGTTCACACCTGTTATGTATGAGGGGTGGAGCCTTAGGTGTTCACCAGGGCCGGGTGACCCAGTTGCTGGGTTGTGATGCTGTATGTGGGGGCGGGGTCCGAGAAAGGAAAAAAATGTCACTTTGCTCCCCTCTCTGTTGCACCTCAGTTTCTTCCGCTACTTCCCCTAAGCAAACCAAGCCTTTCTGGTACTGATTCCTGTGTGGGTGGGCTTGTGTGCATTCTAGGACCCTCCAAGGAACTTTCCTGTGAGGGTTGGAGTCTCTCCCTGCACCTCAGCCCCCACAAGTGTTTTCAATTGGTGTTTTGAGGCTTTATTTCCCAGCGCTAGGACCCTGGGTTGCGCCATCTGTCTTGCTCCCCAGTTATCTGTGTGCAAATGTGGCCCTGCTTCTCAATTGCCGCCTTGCTGGGTCTGCCTGTTGCCACCCCACGCCCAGGGTTTGCCAGTCACCATCTTGGCCTGAGAGTCATTTGTTTTTTAGGGGTTTTCTTACACTGGTGGTGGATTTGCAACATCAAACACTCTCCTTTGGTAATTCAATTTCTTGGGTAGCCTCTACCATAGTACTTGGCATAACTGGCCTATAGTTTGTCCACGACCTCTGCAGGATGGTGAGTGAACATACCCGAAAGTCCATGTTAGGAAAGGAAAACTCCCCACTGTCTATAAGAATTGTACCCTGGGGTTATCACTGTCTTTTTACTTTTGTTACATCACTGATTTGTATGCCTTTGTGTCTGGCTCACTGGGAACACATGGTAGAAGTTGTAGAACTGAAAATCAGAGTTTGCCAGCTGTGAGTTTGGCAGAGCAGCACACTGGTCACAGGAGTGCTGAGCTCCTCCTGCTCTTGGCCCCAGAGTGTCTGTGCAGGGCTTATGTGGACCTGCTGGAACCTCCTGGCTGGTCAGCTGTACATATATTATCATATCCTGTTCATGCTGTGATGGAAAAGGTTGGGAATTACTGATGGAACAAATAATGCTCAGACATCTTAAAGTTTGGGGAACTAACTATCCAAGATGCTGTCATCTTGAAAATCACCTGGCATATCCTAATGCC